TACCGCCGCCGTCGGAAACTGCGGCGCCACAGAGCAGTGTGAGCTTAAAGCTCCGAACGCTGACTTGAGGTGGGGTGACTGAGCTTTAACCATTGACAGTGCGAAGAGAACATCTCTTCGCACAACTTTAAGTACTGTGTAGGAAGTCACACTGAGCTTTGACTGTTAGAACGTAATCGATTCGGAGGTGTGCGAGATTCAAATAAGATTGATGAAAAAGCGGAAACTGCAGAGTGACGTCGGGGTGTTATTTGACAAATATTCAAATCGCTTGCGATTGCGGAGAAGAGCTATTTATTCAAAGACTTGATTAGAATCTCACTCGAGATTAAGGCGGAAAGTAGAAATGAAGTAAATGATCGAAATGCCATCTAAGTGTATATTTATTTATTTATTTATTTTATTTATTCATAAGCAAGCCGTAATCAATAATAATAGATATTATTTCAGGCTCTTGTCAAGCTTATTCATATTTAGTTAATAACATAGTTAATATTAAAAGGATAGTAATTTTATAATAATCATAGTAGCTGCACGAATTTCGCTTCTGAAAAAAGAGCTGAAAAAAAGCATTCGAACATTAAATACAATGTTCATCATCAAGTTCATCATATAAAAAGTCTATTTGACCACCAGTCAAGCTCAAAATTCTTGCACAAGGTTGAAAGTTATACTCATTTAAAACCGTAAAAATGTTAAATTAATAAAATAGCAAGAAAAAAAATTAAAAAAAAATATGGTTGTACAGGCGATCAAATAGTCAGACTACATAGATAAAGGATAAGAATTATGCAAGAAAATAGTTATTGAAATCAAATTGAGAAAATTCAGTAATGTCATAAAAAGCTAATTCTTTAAAAAGTTTAACTAGGGAAGCATGAAATTTTTTGCTGTCTAAGTTTCGGATGTTGAATGGAAGTTTATTTATAAGCTGAATACCTAGACCGTCGATCGTATTGAAAGAGCTGCCTAATTTATATGTGCGCGCCTTAATAAGTTTGTGTCTAGTGTTGTAGTTTGAGGAGGTCGAAGCCATATCAAAAGTTATTGTATTTTGACATAAGTGGATGAAATAGTAGACAACGAAAGTTTTTTTTTTTAACAAATCACCAATGCAATTATTAACTAATTTTATTGAAAATATTGTGTATATAAATATTTTAATTTCTATGATGTATTATTTATGTTTGTAAAATCTGATTTTAGTTCTCAATCCTATTAAAAATATATAATAGTAAAAAAATATTTAAATAATTTATATTTTTACAAAACTACATTCGTAATTAAAAAGAAAGTAATAAGTATTTTAGTTTTTATTTACAATTTCATCTTTATGAAAAGCCGTTTCCGTGAGCTTTTGAAAATGTGTGCTTAAAGCATACGAAGATTAGCGCCGACAGTGTGAAGCTTTTTCAGTGGGTGGTGGGTGCTTGAGACTATATTTCTGTGAGAAGAACAAGGACATGATGTCGTTTTAGTACAAAAGAGTGGGACGATAAGCTGGGAGTGCGGTGTGCACGGTTAATCGTCTCTGGCTGCGGTTTGCACTTGCCCCATTACGTAAGAGCTGGGAATGATAGCTTGTGTGTCAGTTTAATTAGGCTACTTTATAGTTTAAATATGTATCCTTTAATCTAAAGTATAAATGAAAAGTTCTCAGTTCCAAAAAATCAATTGGCAAATTATGCACTGATATTGATAGCCGTATATTCAAACACCCACGTTCTATAAGTCATTTCAACAAAATCCATTATCCATAACCATTACCCGAAGTTGTGAAATATCATTTAACCCAACCCTGTGTTTTAGTTATCTCAATCCTGCGGTTACTGGAGAGCTAGAATTGAAAACGAAATATATCGTATGCGATGGTGGAAGAAGGTGCCGCTACCACCACGACACACCACAACTAACTGCTTCTGTAGAACGCCACGAGAATTTCCAAAGTCAATTTTCTGAAACGTGAAAATTGAGTGGGTAGCTGTATAACACACTTGGTGAATTCTAATGGGTTTTATATATATATTATTGGGTGGACTTCAAAATTATTGATTTATGGATTGGACTTAATATTTGATCTTTTATAGAAGAGGTAATACCAAACAAAACTCAACCAAATAAGGTAATTTGAAGATCGTAAAATAGTAGTAAAAAGCGTAAATAATTAATTACGACAAATTTAAAAACTTTGATAAAATTAAATAGATTTTAAAATATGCTCTACATAATGTAGATTTGATTGAGAAAATAAATATTAATATACGTAATTTGATGATGTTTCATATTACATAACTTATTTTCCTAATTGTTGTAGATTTTTATTAGCTCTAGAATTTTTTTTTTTTTTATTGCAATTTATTTTTGTTAATCAAGACTTTAATGTCTTATTTACAAAATTGATATGAGCAACAAAAAATACAAAAATACAAAAAAATGCAATAAATAGAATGTAAAATGAAAAAAGTTAAAATAAAAATTAAATTAAAACAGTAATACAAAAATAATAACGTAAATGAACCATGACGTGATGATGTATGCCGCGTACTACGAGCTCTAGAAAAATGATAAAATTTCCGTTCTGTTTCATAGAACTTAGATGTGTATAAAAATAGTATGCCACCATATTAAATTTTATGCCATGAAATGACTTTTATAGAAAACCTAATAATGTTTTATCAAAGGTATATATTTCCATAACAATTATTTCTAGTTTAACATCTTTACAATCCTTGAAAGCTCAAGAATGTCAGCAAGTTCGTGAATTGCGTGGGTGCGCGCGTGTGCACCCATGCAAACTGCATCCCTTAACTTCGGCAGGGTGGTCGTCGACAACGTGCGGAATAAGATTGTAGAAATCAATACCGCGGCAAGGTTGGGAGTCAAGAAGGCTGAAATACAGTGGGCGGTTGGCTCGAAAGCTCGGTATAAAATATACCGCTGCCATCGTATGCATAATAATGATGATTTTGCAGATTGCCTAAAGTCAATCGCAAAAACGATTACCGAGAATGAGAAAGGTTTGAAATGATTTTTAAAAGAATTCCGGGTGAATGAATATCAGATCGTTGAGAGATGTAGACATACTTAATGTATGGGAGAGAATCAATTGGGAGATTGTGGCGAAACAGATTTGAAGTGGAGGCAAAAATAATATTTACTAGTGAAAAATATAATTAGTGGTGCGTGGCATCGTGCTTTAAGACAAATTGCTGGAACTTCCATTTTTAAATTAACTTATTTTTTTTAAAAACTGAAAAAATATTTTTTTAAATTTCGAAATTTTGAAAAAACTTGACTTTTTTTCAAAAATTTGATTTTCATTACATTTTGAAATTTTATGAATACTTTAAAGTTAAAAAACATGCTAGAGAGCTAGTTAAACCCATAACTAAATATAAACAAATCGCAACTAAATCAAAGCAAATTTTAAGTCATTCTAACACTTTATCATCAACAACAACATTGGATTGTTCATAATATATCAATATACTACTATTTTGTTAATAATAAATATGTAGAAATTTGGCTCCAATATTTCAAACACATTATTTGTACGAAAACAAAACACTAGCACTTCGAATAACTTCCTTTTTATTCGAGTTTTCGGTTATTCGAAAATCGATCCATAAGATATAATATTTAAGTACCATGATAAAGCCTAGATGAACTCATCGGATCATAATACGTATGTACGATGAAGCAGGCTCATAATATAGTATCATCAAGTACATTCCCCACTTAACGCATAATCACGGGTAGACTCAAACGCTCGCTCTTCAGATAATCTCAATTCAATGTAATATCAAGTGCCTCCCGCCGACGGCAAAGACTTGAGTACTATTCAAAACACTCGGATGAACACACACAAACACATTTGTACACACAAGCAATGGACAGAGAAGGCAAAATGAAATAGAAAATAGAAAAAATACTCCTACAATGAGTATCACCCTTAACAAAAGCTCGTCGAGTATTAATTCACGGTCCATTTGGCGGTGGTTCGCATAAAGCACCCGGCAAAGTAATTTAATAAGACAAGATGGGGAGATTTTGTACGTGATAAATGATGTAAGCAAATTGTCTATAAATAATAAGATATAAATGTACTAATGTTTGTCGATTTCAGGAGTAAAAGGGTTTTGAATTTGTACCACTAAAATGCTCAATATTTAATATTATTCGGATCTGTTTCTAATAATTCTGATAATAAATGATAAATATGTAAATACATAGTCATATTGAGATTTGTTTCAAATATATCAAATGGCAATCAAAACAATTATATTCTGTAAGCCATTGGGATGAAATTTAGATCCTCATTTTATTTCAGGCATCAAATATGTCCTGGTAAAAATCTACCGTGATATACTTCTGCTTTCTTATGTAAAATCTATAGGTTGTTAAAATTATTTGTATTTAGAATTCGATCGAAAACAATTCATGCGTTCCAACGAGATGAAAAAAATTTATATGAACGGTTGCAAAATTTTAATTTGAATTTTTTTAAAAAAAAATTCAGATTAAAATCTTGCCACCGTTCATATAATTTATTTTTTATTTTTAGAGTGCGTATAATATTTTCCCGTTATTTCAGATGTCATTTATTAATACGTATAATTGCAGGCAAAGCGTAGCAGGTATGCAATTCATTATTTCTATACATTATTGTTAACAAAAGAATGTATGTGATATAGCAATTTGTCAAACGGATTTTGCATAAATAATACAATGCTTTGATACGAAATCAACCAAATTATTCTAGGGTGAGGTTACCGAAGAAAATAATTTTCGTATTCCCATTCAAGAAATAATCCGATTATGTTATTTCAAAAGCGTTTCGGGCTACTGCATAGGGCATGGATTATGCCTTCGGTAATACCACGCCTGAATGGCTATTAACTGACGAGATCTATATAAGGCACAGGATACCACCTGTTATATTATACATGTCTACCATAAAATCATTTGTTCAAAAATTTAATAATATAGTTGGCACTTACCTGTTTGTGCATTTCTACGTTGAGGCCGTATGACATTTCATAGTACTGTGGAATGATAAAAATAATATTAGTATAATTTAATAATAATATGGAGAAGGAACTTCGAAACACATTCAATCGTAATTTCATTCAAACTAGCTATCTCAGAGGATGACGAAGGGATGATGTTTTTCTTAATAAGTGTAAAAAATATTCAACATTACTTGAATAGATACTTATTATTACCTTAATACTTAATTATTTTTATAGAAACAAATTTTTAAAACTAATATAATACATATTACTCAAAAACGATTTTCTGTCAAATTCATCTGTTGATAATCGAAATTAGATCCAGAAAAATTTTTGGGTTCTACATTTGTAAACACGTTCAATTTTTTTTAAATATATTAAAACCTACATCAATGTATTTTTCACTAAAATATTTCCCATTTTCTACGATTGTATAAAAATGTAGCAATACAACAAAACATAAGTGTGGTCGGTGTTATATCCGCGACGCCCGAGTCGGAGATAGTTTCACGTGCCCTGAATAGCAAATAGGATTGTTCAATATACGAATGACATTTGAATCATATAATACTAAACATATATATATATATATATATATAATATATATATATATAATTTAACAACCACTACATTCTGGCTAGTTATAAACTTGTTATGAGTGTAGGTACATAGAAGGGCATAATGTACATAGTAAGCAAAATAAAATTTTACCGTTACATATTTTTAGACTAAAACTAAATTTAGATCGCAGCAATAATTTTGTAGTATGCAGTCTTTGAATTAAAATAGCACTTATCACTTCTTAAATTTGTATGAATATGATTAAAAATATCTGTAAGTCTAATTAGTTAAGTAACAATTAGTAAATAATGTCTTTATTAAAGCAATCTCAAGTACAAATTTCAGCTGCCATTTTATTCTTTCATTTTTTATAAAGTCTGCCTAACAATTATTTTAACGAGCCAATCGTCGACAGACGAGAACCCCGTTAATTAATCCTCATTCGCCAATTAAATTCTGTAATCATTTACGAGCAAAAAATAAACCTTCAACAGAATATTACAACGTTTTTATTTTAAATAAACAAATAACGTAACGTAATAATTTTCATTTATTCCACTCGTCGATAATAGAACAAGCGAATTAAAACCTGTATTAGAACCAATTCCCAAAACACGCTGTAGCTTTATTAATTAAAAACATTATGTAGGTAATCTGCACTATTATAGCTTGCATTCGCGAATTCAGCTCAATTTGATTATTATCATTATTGTTGGCCATCATGAATAAATTGATGATAAACCCGATCACGCTAAAACACAACATTACATTTGAAATAAATATTTACCATCCGCAGTGTAATTTTAATGGACGCTGTCATTTCAAAATAAATAAATGGCTGAATATAGAACGTTATCAATATCTGATTGCGCTCAAAATCCAGATGTGTATGCAAAAATGTAATATGGCGCTACATGAATATTGAAATTTAAAATTGAACGGCTGCAGTTCGAAAATTGAGAGCTTTAAAGCTCGGCGGTGGTGTAGGGGTTGATAAAAGCACTTGGGACATGCAATGCCATGTTTTATAAACGGATTTTCATGAAGCGACATATATTTTTTGTAAAACGGGTATGAAAATCGACAAAGAATGATTAAAAATATAATGATATATTTATTTAATGAAAATGTTAATTCCATTATATTTTAAACTTCTCACTTTTTTACTCGGTTTAATGTAACATACACTTACGTATAAATATGTAAAAATTCTAAAACTTTGAATAACTAGAATATTATATTAATTTAAAATAAAAGCATTCAATATAGATGGATTTTATTTGAAGTTCATAAAAATTTAATATTTTTTGTTGACCAATCTACTTACATAAATTTCCAAAATCATCAATTTTATTGATACTTGACTAGATAGTAATTTTATATATAAATCATTGATTGCAATTGCTTTATTTTAATTTTATATAATTAAAAAATAATGGTTATTGAATCAAAATGTTTTTGTGGTAATTAATTTTTATATTTATGATAGTTTTAAATATTTGCATAGAATATTGGAAATATAGTATGTATAGACTATTGGTAATATACTATGTAAAGAATTCTAAAATTCAAACAACTTCAATCAATCTTAATATCGAAATCATACTTTCATCTCCTTCATTTCAACCAAATCGATAACATTTCCATTACCATTTGATAAATCTAAAGAAAATCGTACTTGATTAAATTCCCTATACCTTTCCGCATATCTTACAACTATCTTCTCATTTCAATTTATTTCACTCGAATTTTATCGTTCGAAATTAAACTTTCCTATGAATCGAACAGGTAAGTTATCATAAATATGCGCATAAAGTTTCCAACATCAAACAATAAATTCAATTACGGATATCATACATTGCATGGGTATTCGACTCGAACTAATATCCAATAAAATGCGATCTATTAAGCAAACTTGAGAACGTTGAACGCGGCGCGATGGGAATCATGAATTCTTATGAAATAAAGAAAATTTTATTAAAGTGAAAAGAATCAACATATTGAAATAAAGAAATCTGAGAACATATAAGCATGTCAAACATATTGTGTATGTGTATGCACATACATATATAAATTTTGCACAAAAATTCTGTAATGTAACAGTTAAGTAAACTCTTAAAAGCTTCAGAGAAAATCACTTGACACCTCAACCCTCATATGTAAATAATTTTTTTAGTGCTCAAAATAAAATATGTAAAAAAATAATTTTATAAAAATAATCATTTAAAATCATTTTACTAATGATATTTGTCTGTAGCAACCAACATAAATAAATGATACCGAAACTTAGCCGTAAACTTTTAAAACGCGAAACATACACTTATGTGGCATTTCAACTTTATAAAGAATTTATATTACACATATGAATATATATATATATATATATATATACATATATATACATATATATACATATATATATATATATATATATATATATATATATATATATTCCTTTATTCAATAAAGTTGGTAACTGCTGGAAAACACTATGTACCAAAGACGTACTCGATTTATACTCGCGGCTTGGGAAAATAATTCGAGAAAACCCCCAGAGAAAGCATTTTATTAGTTGCGCAATGATGGAAAAACTCATTTTAAAAAATAATAAAACAGAAATAAAAATAACTTTACGGATATGAAAAACCACAAGTATTTAATATTGTGTTTTCTGTTACATATTTCAAAACCAAAAGGTTTAAATTTAATTATAGAAATTTATATAATCTGGGTTTACAAGCCACAGCGCGTGTTGCAGATTATTAAAGGAATGAAATATGATATGTTAAACTTACAACGCAAATTTTATTTACTTTGTATAAATTAGGAATAATTTAAAACTTTAATGAGAGCAACTTACATATGAATAACAAATGAGTACAAAACCATTATAATCGCAGGCTTATTTTAATCATATATGTATTTATTTAGATTAATGATCGCTAAAAGCTCACTGGGCTTTCAAAACATAACGAGATTAATACAAATAAAATAATTTAAATTGAACATTCGTGTCTGGCTATAATAAAACTCATTTAATATCTCAATTCAGAAAAGTAATACATATCGGATTAGCGTTCGTGGATTATAACTCGTTACTTCATTTATTATATTTCAACGAATCAATAAAAAAAACAGAGTGAGAGCTTGTTGTTTGTGCGGCACATGAAGCGGTAAATCCAATCAATAAATGTAATGTACTGGAACAGTACAAAATGTTTTTCATTTAACATGGCATGATACAAAGCTGTGTATTAGTTTTTAACCATAAAACAATATTTATAGTACTTGCATTATTATGATTGCGCGATAACTGATTGTGAAATCGATTTTTCTTACCCGATTATAAAAAAGTATTATTGATGCAAAGATGTTTGATATTGGAATAATGGTATTTATAAGAAATGCAATGAAAATTTCGAATTGTACAATATTGTAAAATGCCTCGGAAATAAAGTTTTGAAACTTGTATTTAAATTGTGCCAGTAAATATTTCAGAGTAAAAAAAATAATCTGCTTATATTTTCTAAGATAAGTAATAATATGAAATATATAAATAGATAGAAGTACAAATTGATAAAACATAGTTTTGAAAGAATTCGCATTAAATACCGTTTGAGTTACTTATGAATATTTCTCTTCGACTAACGTACTAGTAAGAACAAAATTCTCTTCAATTGAATTTACTAATTTTATATTTTAGTGTATTTAGATTGTGCTGTTATATTTATGTCTAAACGGTAATAACTACAAAAATTGTCATAATAATATCTTAATCAATATAATTGGTTAACGTTGAAGTTACATACCAAACGTCTAATATTATTGAATTGATATATAATATATTTTTAGGTTTCATTTCGCTTATATTTAAAAAAAAATAATATAGTAGATACGTCTCGTGTCTTGGTGATACTTGCACAAGATAAAAATAAATTTAAAATCCTATATGAGACCTACTATCAACCTATAAAAACTAGCCATTAGTATACAGCTCAAGCTGAATGAGTTTAAGTATGAGGAAAAATATGAAATAAAGGTTAAAATGTTATTTCACTGTTTTAAATTTAAAAACAATATGAGCTGTCAAAGAACCGAGTCTTCAAAAATAAATAAATGTGCTGATAGCGTTGCACGGAAATAACACCGCGATGAAATAGTATGCGAATCGTTCAAAAGCACTGCGTGAAATTGCAATGCAAATTCAAAAAGCACAAAAGCTCAAAAGCTTCCAAAAAAGCTCTCTGCGAACGCACACACACACTAATAAATGAAAGCAGACATGGGAAACATAAAGCGACAAACGAAACACAGGCACATCAAAGGAATAACAAATATTACAAGTGTGTTTCGAGTTTTGGGGTATGATGTGTTAAGGTTGCACTTACCATGACATAGTGCCTTTGCATTTCCGTCTTCTCCTGCACGAGCTTCTCGCATTCCATTTTCAGGCTGGTTGCAAAATAATATCAAGTCGGTTGCAGAATTCCAACATGCGATGTTCGAGTGTCGTAATGTGTTCGTGGTTGGTTCAGTGTGTTTTTGTTTCATCCAGAAAAACACAACGGAGATGATGGTGGAGAGATGAAAGAGAAAACAAAGCAAAAGCCCATATGAAGCCACAATACACAAATGTTAATATAATAATTAATGATGAATGAGCAATTTATACAAAAATAAATAAAAATGTAATTAGTTGGAAATAGATTCTTGCATGTTTTTTTTAAAATATCTATCACATTTAAATTTCCTAAAATATGTTCAAAAATGATGTTGGAAAACAACAATAATAATATTTTCAATATTTAGTACTCCAAGAATTCGCACATGTATTAAAATAAAATTTGATTCTTATGAGAGAATATCTGGCGAATTTGTTTTAAAAATATACCACAAAAATCAATTACTGTTTGTTATGTTTAAGTTAATTTAATAAATAATAAATATCTGAAAATGTAATTATTTACAAATTACATGCAAGAATCTAATTTTATTTATGATATTTTAGATAAATTATATTATTGTTATTAAAGCAAATTTCCTATGTCATCGAAAAATAATTGAGTAGCCAAACAATAGCATATTATTCAAAGCACTCATTAATATTCATAAAAATTCAATAATGTCAGTGCTCAAATAATGAATAGTTGCATTAGTACCACATAGCATGCAATGTATATTCAAGATAAATCCAAGTTATTTCATTGATCTGTAAATAATCGATGTCATCCAATCACGACCCGGTTCCAATATTCAAAAGCAAATAAAATAATTGTTTTCACGAGATAATAACGTACAATGTTTCAATTTAAACATACTGATTACTATTCAGTCGACATTTACACAACAGTTGAGTGACTTCATACGAATGTGATATACTGTAAATGTTCGGCGGTGTATGTATCTATAAATACATTGAGTAAATATAAATGAGCACGACAACAATAAGTTAAACATTATGGGCGTTGTTATCGATATTTTACGTCACAACAAGACTAATGGCTTCGGATTATAAATATTTGATAAGAAGCGGGTCTCTCAGCACGCCGTACAATTTTCCCTGGAATAAATGTCAAAACGGGAATTATACGATGTAGAAAAGCGTTAATTATGTTCTTATTAGTAAAATATTCATGAAACAATCATGTTATTAAATATCATTATGTCATCGTACACCTTGTTCAGAATATATACCGCCTATGTGATGTAGATTATATATAATACTTCTAACGGGTAGAAATAAACATGTAATAGTTGGGGTGTAATTTGGGATAGGTAGTATAAACAAAATGAAAAATTAACAAGCATATACTCATCAGAACTTGATATTGACTGAAAATTTGTAAATCAATCATTTTTGTTTTATGAATATCTAGACAGCACTGCCTTACTTGCAAAAGCGGTCATTATACTGCATGAACTCATAAGGAAATCTTTTATTTTTAAAAATTTAAATTGCTTTAACACTTCAATCAAATAAATAATTACTCCTAATAAACCGATACATAATTTTCTTTTAAAAATCATGTGCTGTATAGCATCCTTACAATCGGAGCCCGTCATCAATTTCTTTTAAATACTGCAAGTGAGCTTTGGTAAAAAGCTTTTCTAAAGTACTAAGTTAAGGAAATATACCGCAAGTATCGTTCTGTTTCATTATTACGAGTACTATATCCAAATCCTTAGCTAGTTTGACTTTATAATTGATTTTCTGGTGTAAAATTACATCAATTTCTTCATGATATATATGAACCTAACAAGATTTCGAACGGAAGCTTACAACTGAAAACCGTCAGTTCTATAGGAGTCTTGACAAGAGCATAACCCAATGCAAATTTGCTCTTCAAAACAAAGGACGACGCTTATTGGATGATGTTTTCCCACAAACGCGGTTTTGTAATTAAAACATATCCAAAATTGATCAAGCCGATGAACCATTTCAGCGGCACGGTGGGGAGATTAATAAACCACCAGTGTATATGGAATCATATTGGGATAGACGCCGGTGTAAATTATAAATTTCAGAGAATAAAATTATAAAGCTATTACATTGATTTTGAGGAGTCTAACGAGTTACAGGAACTAAAATCTTGTAAAACATTTTAAAACATATGTATCATATAAAAAAACTACATTAAGATTTATTTAATTTGGATTCGCTGTTTTTCATCATATTAAATAATTGAAATATTTCGTATGATCAAATCTAGCTTCGGGCAGAAAACTTTAAAACATACATATATATATATATATATAATATATATATATATATATATATTTATATATATATATGTGTGTGTGTGTGTATGTGTGTGTACACCGATGAAAAATTAATTTCATTATTACTTGTAAAAATTATTTCTGTATTTAAAATATCGATTTCATTAATATATAATGACTAAATTCATTTTCCAGTGCACAAATTAACAAAAAAATGCTTTTTTTAAAACGAAAATGTGAAACAAATAAAAATTATAAATTCATCCATTTATAGTAGTTGCCAACAAGCGTAGGGAATTGGATTTCATTTCATATAAAATGCTTACAGTAGAATATAAAACAATGCAAATAGAGATAACTATAGCACGTTTTTCAAACTTGTTTGTCGAAAAAACATTCAAAGCTCTAGCTCTCAGTTTATTTGAGCATATGAGCCAAATATAACTGATCGGTAGGTAGACTCCTGACCGGGCATTGAAATATGCACACAATTGTGAAATCCGCGTGAAATGATGATCGAATCGGATATGATGGAGTGTGTGGCGGAATTTGGTCCCTCGATGTTCATACCGCAATGTTTGTTGAAACGCTGAAGAGTTCGTTATGCTATTAATTGGCACCGCAGATTTAAATTGACTACTGATCAATATATGATGAAATAAACGTTGAAAGAAAAACCCTCTGAAATGTCGATTGTAAATATATTGTGTTCTCTTATTTGCTTCTACTATACACTGACCAAGTATTTGAATCTGTTATTACAAGCGACATTTCGCCACCGAATATCGAATTAAGTTAAAATAACTGTAATTTTACACAGCAAATAAGGAGCAAACTTTCCGCAAACATTTCCGCTTCTCGAACGTTTTCATTAGCGCCGAATTTAATTAGAAACTCGCGACTGCCAAAATATGTTTTGACGTGCCAATGCAGCCGTGAATATAATACACGCATTTCTCCTCCCGACATGACGCATCCGAGCGCGGTTCGGGGGCTCCCTCGAGGCCGTGCATAAGGGAATTAGTGCAGGATTAAACGGCCGATGCTCGAAAGAGATTACATTTCATAATGCATATACGATGTCTGTTATTGCATACAATACAAGGTACAGGGTTATATGATGTAGAGACACAATGATGGCTGATATAGACGTCGAAACAAAGAAAGGGCACTAGCAAATATTGTGCAAAATTTGGAATAGGAATCGTTCTAGTATTACGTAAGCAGATTTATTACAATTATTTACCCCCATCCCCCTCATAATATAGCAAAAGTAAGCAAAGCTCTTATTAATTTAGCAATTAATGTGAAAAAATAAAAATACTACCGATGACGTAATCATCATCCAGACTCCCCTGCCCCCCATGTCAACCCAAAATAAGCAAATCAACAACCCCCCGCCCCCTATAGTGCTTACGTAATACTTGAACGGTCCCATAGTAATATTATATGATGTAGTAAAGTTTCAAAAATTCAACATTAAGAATTGCAATTGATAAATTCTAAGTGTTGCTAATTAGAAATTTAAAGACAAATGCTGTTAATAAAACCATGTGTGAAAATTAAAAACAAAAATCAAGTATTTTTTACATAAACATTTAATTACAAAAATCAAATTATTCTTGGTACATGCTCCTTGTCATAATAAACCATACGCTGCGTTTTGGATATTTTGCTTTTAGAATTGTTAATATACAAAATTAAGGAAAAATTTTAACTAACAAGGAAACTGAAACTTTGCATGGTGGATTACATATGAAAGAGTTAAAAATGATCGGGTTCAAATCCCGTCAGCGTATATTATTTTTTTTTAAATTTATTTTGTTGTTGTTTGAATAATTGAATATTGCAAAAATATTTGAGTTGACAAGATTTAAACCTGATCCTTTTTAATTTCTAATTATAACTATAATATAACTATAAATCCGGGCACAAAATGTATGAGCAAAAGCCTAAACTGATAGATCTATCTAGACATATTGATTCGTTTAATAAAACATTTATCATTTTTTGTAAATAAACCATTTCTCATAGGCCTATAATATTTCAAGCTCTTCGGTTTGACTGTAAGTTCTGTTACCGCACAAGCTTTAGTTTCTCTTACATTCTTATAGTTTCATTAATTTAGATATAATTTTGACAATTTCCATAATATCATACAAACAACGATTAAAACAGTAAAAGGTAAACTTTCCATCAGCAAATAAATTTTATGTAATTTCGCGAAAATCATCAATTTGGTCAACTTCCACGGTTGCTCTGAACGTTCTATAGGAGTGGTAAATTTGAACATTATCAATATTTGATTTAATATATTGCAGATTTATTAACATAGAAGTAGCTGCTTGCGTTCATGATGACATCAATGCAAATATATTGAAACACAGGCACAAACACGCACTATGCATTTTATATACGTCATTCGAATTACATCAAATATTTGGAGAAATAAGATAAATAGTAAAATGGTGAAGTTATCTTTTGTACCAATGATTAGGTAGAACTGGTTTAGACAAAAATGCGAAAAGTCTTCATTAAAGAAATAAAAAAGAGAGGGTGTTAGAAATGAAATTGTGCATTGATTTTGGACTTGTCGCTGTAGCTCGAATGAAGTGGGCACATTATAAAGCTTTAGCCAGCCTGTTTAAAATTTACGTATCTATTAAAAACATTGGCCTTCCCTGTTATGAGATATACAAACGACACGAAGCAAACCGTATAATTTACAAACATACACTACCTCTTTTCATATTATGCATCGTATTGCAATTTCAACAGTAGCTCATATGTACACATGACGCAGAGCCATTCGCTCAGTAGCAAACATGTACGTACTTTGTACATTCGTTTTTTCGAAATGTTTTGTTCCAATTACCTTCATCATAAAGCCGAGTATATGCAACCGACGCAATGGATGTTCTGCCTTTTGAATGTGTATTTTGATACAACAATGTATCATGTGCCAACAAGAGATGGGCATTTTTTGTTTTACAATTAGTCTCGGAAAAAATTTAAACCGAAAATACTTATGTGATTTTCAGGTAAAATGTCCGTAAAAAGCTCGTGTAGTTCATGTCTCTTTGGAAAAATGTTTTCAATATTATTTTTCAGTGCAAACATCAGAATTGGTTTTTGTTTTCGATTCTAGCTTAAAATCACGGTGTTGATTATTAATTTCGTTCAGCAAAAATATATAATTTTAATTTTCACCATAACAGTAGACATGTTCTAAATAACAGTAATTACATACTATTACAGTGAAGCTCTTGAAAAATAGAGACAATCTGTATAAAAAAAATATTTGCATATTATAAAACACAGACGTGGAAAAAAGGGGATACGAGCACGAGCCGGGGGCGAATAAAATTACAAAAACATCGCCACACCGGCCTCATCTCACGCAAAGCGCCAGGAAAAAACATGAAATTCAAATCTAATAGACTTTTTGTTTGCATTCACATGCACAAAAAATTTATGCTGGAAAAGACCTGAGGCTTTCCAACACTTTTGTAAAAAATATAGTGAAGCAAAACATCATGCGTGCTGAAGTAAAGCTTAGTAATCAAACTAATTAATATTAAAACTAAAATAATAATTGTAAAAAGATCCAAGATTATTACAAAAATAATATAAATAAATACAACGAAGCTGGTAAAGAAGTTCACTGACACTGAGAAAAGGGCATTAAAATAGAACAGAATTTTAATTCGTTAATTTACCAAACATCAACATCAAAACAAAAAAATGAACCCGAAAAAAATGGGCCGTAAGAAAAATTTGTTTGACTAATTAATCATTAGTTTATTTTTTACTATGTACTATCATTCTCACACATGTAAATTAATACCCCGTATTTTGTGACAATTTACATGTCATACTCAAATGCTAATAATAATACTGTTTTGCAAGTAGACTGTGCGGTCGTTGGCATGCAAAGCCAATTAACAGATAGTTACGATCTTTGCTACCAATACTATTAATTATAAGCAAAAAAGATAGAGCAAATTATATCACCATTTTTTATATATTTTATGTCGGCATATGATTGAGGTTTGAATGATGTAAAACGATTTATTACAGCAACGAGCTAAATGGAAGGCAGAAGTAAAAGACCAGGTTCTAGTTAAGGTAATGGTCAAGATAAAGATATTTACCTTCACTATGAAATTGTGAAAAATAATAATTTGTTATGGCATTATTCAAACAGTCATGTTCAATTATCTAAATTAAATGTGCTAAAATACATGGCAAATATTTTGTTTATTTAATTTTGTTAAGTGCGTCATATCAGAGTATATTATGTATACAAAGACAATATCATTCATAATAACGTACACAGCCATAAGGCTAATATATGTTAAATAATAACTAATCCATTAATTACACAAATGAAAATACAAATTCATAATGAAAACAAAAAGTTATACACGATGATTTTATGCATGTACGAATTCTGTTATAAACCAAACGCGGGCGGCTAGCGAATTGGCAACATTTTTTGCAGTTTATTTAATTTCACACGGATGACGGAATAGCCAAAGCTCGCTAAAAATAATTGGATAAAATTTAATAATTAAAATGCGACTGCTAAATTATTTTTATTAAAATATGCATACATTATTTACACGTTTAAATTCATATCAGTTCACAAGCTTTTGTTCGTATGTGTGCTACGATTGAGTTGCATATCACTGAAATTAATTAATTAAAAAGCCGGAAATAAATAACATATATAATGGGATGAACATAGCAATTTATCATATAATGCATCAATGAAAAAAATAATAAAAGCGCAGAACATCCCACGATGCTGGCAACAAAATCAAAATTGAATGACGTTTCCTAAGCTAACCGTATAAACATCAATTATGATGATTGCGTAGCCACGCAATTTTCTGTATAACTATAATTATGTACTTTTGCAGAAAAACGCACATTTTTTATTTGTGTTCTTTATGCCGTTATCAAAGTGCATATGCAAATGCGATTTCACATGGTTTATAAACCTCTACAAATATATTAATTCAAAATTATTAAAGGGAGCATCCACGGCTAAGTCAATGAAAACGTAATTATCTCTCTTATGCGATTAAATTTCATAATCACTTTCATTTATAAAATTATCATCCTCTGAGATCAGAAACCTATCAAACAAAATCCCAAACGCTCAATTTCAAATAGATTATGGTCTTACCATAACATAATGCCTTTGGATTTCAATTTTTTCGCTGGCTAGTTTTTCGCAATCCAATTTTAAACTGAAAATTTCAAAATGATAATTACATTATTTAAATCCTTCAACATGACGAACTCAAATTGGATGACTGTCCCTGAGAACATTTTCACATTTGATGAAAATAAATTATTAACTGTTAGAGAAAATGATGACCAATTCAATTGCTCATATATAACAGCAATGACATCTCATGACTGTCTCGTCTGTGCAACAAAGCGAATCATTTATGACATTATATGATTACAAATCTTAATGGTCAAAATAAATTATTTCACCCATACCTCATATTTCATCGCGCTTTATTAAAAAAACGCAACACTAGTTCCAAATCCTCAGTGAAATTAGTTCTTAGTACAAAACGAGGAAGTTAATAAAAAAATGTTACAAAAACTACGCAAATCGAGGTATGGGTCTTTTAGAAAACAAAAATCCCTGATGTGAAATATTATCAATGAATTTGCAGATTTCACAATGATGATAACCAATTTAAAATCAAATCAAGCTCATAGTACAACATCTGGCAAATAATTGTATTACGTTATAAGATAAAACTGATATCTTGAACAAAATTTGAGAAATGATTTGATTACAGATAAGTATCGGCATGTTTCACAAACGCAATCATGTACTATGTTTATTTTTAATTCTGAATAAGTGATACAGTTTATCTGATATTAAAATAATAAGTATGATAAAAAGTTTGAAGATAATTGTACATGATAAAAAACATGTTACTGTTATTAGTAGAAGCAATCATAAAATTCCCATCTAGATTTAGATAAAATTATGAGAATTTAGAATTGATGATATCAAGAACATATTGACATAAAAATAAGAAGTTTTGTAATTTGCCGATAAACATTCAGAAGTTGTATGCTGAAACTAGTAAAATTTATATAATTAGAATAATTAATAAAAATCTCTGATACGTTACTCACTTATGATATTGGGCTTGTAAAAAATTAAATTCCTCTTTGATACGATCACATGATTCGCCAACTGTAAATTTGAACGGCTGTCCAGGTTGTGGTGGACCCTGAAAAAAAATAAGAAATATTTTAGAATCTCTTTTTGACTCTTACTTTTCCAAAAAGACTTAAAAGAACACATTTACTTGGAATATCTATTTATTATTCTTTCCTTCATATAATGAAATATTTGTTGATATGACAATTTATTGCGACATGAGTAGTTGTGTATCGCAACAAGACATCGATTGATATTTAATAATTAGTCCAACAAATTCGCAATACATACATTAATATACAAAATATAATTTATCGCTTAATTAGCGATGAGAAGATACTGCTAACTAAAATTAATGTCTTTATCGTTAGCAGCAAAGGTTATCGTTCATTTTTTATTTTCAATTTTATAGAGTCAAAACCTTACAGTCTGAGCGATTTTATTTGGCTTTTGACATACATGTAATTAAGAATTATTGAAATTTTATTGCTGATATGATATCTGGATATAAATTTAATTTGTACATTGATCTCTGAATCAATATATAATATTTTTGGATTTTTAGTAGCATTAAACGATACTATTAAGAATCAGAACCGTTAAACCATTTAATCAAAATTAGACATATTTGTAATTAGGGGGCGTCCATTAATCACGTGATTGATTTTTTAAAGATTTTTGGTAATTTTATTCAAAATTGACCCCTTCCCCGACCAAACAAGAAAAAAAATTATATTTTTTATTTTTTTGAAAATGTTTAGATTTTTTTTAAATCAGGTAAAAAATAAATACACGTGATATTTCTTGATTTTTTGTCAAACCCGCCCCAACACATTCTGCAAACCATTATTTTATACTTCAATTTTTGAATAATTAGTAAAAAAAAGAATTTTAAAAAAGTTTGATAAATAATGAAAAAATATATTCAAAAAAGTATAGTAACATAGACCACGTTGATGAAATTGTACTTGAACTTGGTTACATGAAAATATTATAAAAACTGTAACACTGTTACGAATATGCAAATAATTGTTCTACGTGTTTCGTACGTGCGTTATAACATAGAAACTTCATGTTAGGTTTGTTTTTATATTTAATAAGTGATTCTTCATTCAACATCATGTTGGCAGCCAACGTGTTAATGTTCCCAACAATTTTATGCAAAAGCAAATGACACATCCGTTGTCTGATATCTTAACGTTGCGCACGGTCAATGCACTTTCTCCGTCTGCTCGAGCTTTTTGAGAAAACGTTACAACAATCAAAAACAGGGGTGTCGAACTAATTTGAAAAATCAATTTTTAGATAATAAAGCTCTTTTTAGGTCTGCGCGAGCTTTTTGGGGAAAAAATCAGAAACAAAGTGTTAAAATTAAGATGAAACATTATATATACTTCTAACAAATATCATCGAATTTTTTTTTGTTATAAAAAATAAAGCAAATTTTGGACGAGAACAACCAGAAGTGACCGGTAAATATAATTCAGACCTAGCTTTGTATTAGAAGTGGAGATTATTAATATATTAGAGGTGCACCATCAGAAGAGCTTAATCAAAAAACACCAAATCGTGTAGTACCTCGTAGAATACAAATTGTATTGCCTTATTGAAAACTTCTTTTCATCTCTTGTCAACATTTAGAAAGTATTTAGAATACAATTAAATTAGAATTTCTTATTTAACCATAAGAAATAATTTATTATAAAATATCCATTACCGAGGACCTGTTCTTCGCCACACATGATTGTACAATCTTATATCGCCAGCGAAGTGAAAACATAAGATTTATCACATATCGTGTGAACAAGATTTTAGCGTTCATCATACCCTGATAGACGTCTATGAAAAGACATTGAAGATAGTAATTAATTCTATAGACAGTTCGGAACGGCGCAATTGTATACAAGATGCAAGACACGTACATGAGAAATTGTCTATAGATTATTATATGGCTTGTAATGGCATACGTCCGGATTATCAATTGAGCTTAATAGTGCTGGGAAATTGACTTTCGATATTGAAATGGATAAATGAGCATTTGAAATAAAAATAAAGTAAACTGAATAATTGATATATTTTTTTCAGAATATGTTAGTTATGTAACGAATAAACGATTTCCAGACTCGTATAGCAGCGTCATTTCTGCGGAAGACGCCCTCGTAGAGAAAAACTCAAGAACGATTACTGTTACTACAAAGTTTTTTAAGAATAAAATCATGCACGATATCTTCAATATCTCTTTTGATGTGTATATCATTAACAAAAGCAGTTTTTAACACCATCCGAAAATTCACAATAATCTTTACTAAACAACTCTCCAACAAAATTAAGGAATTGTCAATCCCATAGTTTGACTATGCTTATTGGATCAATTTCTAAACTCTTTTCTCCTAAGTTTCATTTTAGTTTAATTTAGTTTCAAAACTTAGAATTTTTCTGTGTATTACTTTGAGATCAATAATTTTCCACTACAATTTCCACTCAAACAATAAAATTGATCAAAACATACAAGTGTCTTTCAATTTGAAATAATTATTTTCTTTAACTACATAAGTGATTGTGATTCTCACAATAACGACAATATTATAAAAAATGATGTTTTAACCTTGATGAGAAGTATCGATATAAATATCATATAAAAACCAAAAACACAATCGAGTCATCAAGTACACTTATCAACCACTTGAGACACGTATTACCTATGAGATAATTTATCTAAAAGTTTGGAATTATTAATAGGTTTGTTCTCAAACTTATTTTGTAAAATCTTATTGATTAAGTATTATTAGTAAGTACTTATTATTATTTCCGCTGCATATAATAGAGATTTTTTATGTAAAAATAATTCCATGTACATTGATTTTTATTTTGTTGCACTAAATCATATAATATATAGTCTTCAAAAAACAGTGAGGATAAAATGGAAATAAGTAGTTCCGAAAATTTAGACAAAAATTACATAAATCAAACATAAAAATTGTAATGAATTACATATAAAATTAAATTCATTCTGCTCATCATATAATTAATATAATTTGCCCCAAAGAAATTAATCCTCTATGAAAATTTAGTACAGCCCATTGAAGCAATATTTCTAAATGAAAACTATATTTACTTTCGGAGTGACGGTAATTATACTTTAATTTGTAATGAAATATATTTATTATAACATATTATTCATTAAATATCGAAAATGTTTAAATCGCTGTAAACAATTGAGAAACTGGAAGTCAAACAACACATTGTAGACACAGTGAGACGGATAAAGTAAACAAAGTTTTCCGTTTCGACATCTGAGTCGTATTTACAGTACGCTATCTATATAAATTCTTATTATATATATATATATATATATATATATATATATATATACAAATATATATTCAGTTTACATTGTAGCAGCCAAACCTATGCCAATAAATGCAAATGGATGAAAATATTGGTTCAAGTGTTATTTCGTCGATGTGAGTATAAAAATTTTGCTTCCACAACTAATTCAATTAATATAGAGAAACTAAATAATATAATCAATAAACATTTTATTTAAATTAAGAAGTAAATTAATCAATCTTAGACAATCTTATTCTTCATTTTATCATAAAACCATTATATCCATTTTCCATTATAATGATTGAAAATCTTTAGAAATTCAAATTTATTAGAAGTATTATATTTTATAATTAATTATAATAATACCTCAAAAATGATCATATGACTGCTTCTACATATGATAAACAATATATGAAAATTATATCCCTCAGATTCAAATTTCAATCTTTAATAAAGGCCACAGCAAAGCGTGGCCGGGCATGGTAGTAATACCTAAAAATATAATTCTTCTAGTGCATTTAATTTTTTTTTGCTATTATAAATATTATCAGAATATATTATAGTGATTGAATATATATATATTCTTTACATTTCTTGTAAATACTCAAAAATTGTAATTGAAAATTTTTGTTCGGCAACTTTTATAGATTAATTTTTTTGTAAATGTTTCTCACCAGATATCAACTATACTAGTAGAGAACCAATAATTATTTATTTACCAATTAGTATATTTTTTGTGAGTAATTAGTTTTTTTTTTGAGTATTCTGAAAAATCGTGGACTATTGCTAAAGGAGTGTTTAGAAAATTGGATTACTTAGTAAAAAAATTTTTTAATTGAGTATATTTTGTTTTAGTAAGTTTGAGAGCCAAGAATCTCAAGTATTCTGAACTGTGTGCGGTGGTATTTGTGTTGTGCAAACAAAACGTGTATTAGCACAATCACTATAAATATAAACTCTGTGTCAATATTATACTAAACTGTATTCTTTATTGAAAACACTCAACGATTGCGTACAAGCAGCGTCGACATCTTTACAACTATATAATATTTCAATAATAACGAATGAAGTAAAAGACAAATATGCTATTCGATTCATCTAAGAATTATGAAAGGAACGAGCATTGTTCACGGAAGTATTGAAAAACTATTTTAAAAAGAAAGTAAATAGACATTTAAAATCTTGTGGTTTGTAGCTGAGAAGATAAAGTAGATAGTAATACGAATTGAACTTTTTATACTAACTATACAAATTGAAATTCGCTTTTAAGATATAATTTTGAAACCAGTTAAGTTCTAGTTTTATACAAAATTTCTTGTAATTTTTTACAATAATATAATTAAAAAAACACCCTAAAGTTTTTTTTAATAATGAACTATGTGAAAAAAAATCTGTTCACATACACATACACACCCACATACTTTATCCAAATTTGGACTCATTCGATTCAGAATGGCTTGAAACGTCGAGAAAACATAAAATTAGCGAATCGAATTTTTTTATGAAAACAAACTTCTCCTTCGGGAAGTTAATTAAGATGCTCACACAAAATTGCTAAGCGAGTGGTGATACTCTAAATAACTTAATGTGATTAATAGTAATGTTGTTCATGTGACTGATTTTGGATTTGAAAAATATTAGAATTAAAAAAAGACAGACGATGAATATAAATATAAATATAAGACTTAAGTTATCAAGCACTTCCAACCTAAGATTTTAGTATCTCAGCAATCATACGTT